AAGGCGAAGCAGATGGAATGCTACGCCGAACGCTGTCAACACAAGGAATTCTTTGACTCCTTGAAGGCGGTGTATGGACCGAGATTGCAGCCGCTGAGGACACTGATCGATGGTAGTTAAGGCGCTACCTGCACCCAGACTGCAGACATAATGCAGGTCTGGCGGAAACACTTTGACTGTCTCTTGAACAACCGTTCAGAGATCGACTGGCCTACATTGAATGGCCTGAAGCAGCACGATGTGAAGGCGGATCTGGCGGATACGCCGACACTGGATGAGACGCAAAGAGCACTTGCTCAGCTGCGAAACGGCAAATGTGCCGGAGGTGACGGGATCCTACCTGAAGTATTGAAACACGGTGGACCCGCGTTGTTGACTGCGCTGCACCACTTGGTGCAACGTGTATGGATTGAGGAGGAGGTGCCTGCTGAGCTGAAGGATGCCCTTGTGCTACCACTGTACAAGGGCAAAGGTAGCAAGCAATGTTGCACGAATTATCGTGGCATCAACTTGCTGAGTTGTGTGGGCAAGGTGATTGCCCGAATCCTGCTCAATCGCCTCGTGAGTCAGATTGTGGAACCAAACGTGGCGGAAGAGCAATGTGGATTCCGATCGGGTCGCAGCACTATAGATATGGTGTTTGCGGCTCGTCAGTTGCAAGAGAAGTGCAGAGAACGACACCAGCCATTGTACTCGCTTTTTGTTGATTTCACCAAGGCATTTGATACGGTGAACCGCGAGGCACTGTGGCTGGTGTTGGGTAAGTTTGGTTGCCCGCGTAAGTTTGTAAGTTTAATTGAATGTCTGCACAGTGGTATGCGAGCGAGGGTGCAGCTGAGTGGAGAGACCTCGGATGACTTTACAGTTGTCTCTGGTGTGAAGCAAGGCTGTGTGTTAGCTCCTGCCCTGTTTAATATCTATCTTCATGCAATGTTGTCTTGTGCTTTTGATGCGGCTTGTGCTTACGGTGTTCGTGTGGAGCACCGTATTGATGGTGGGTTGCTGAACATCCGTCGTTTCGGTGGGAGAACTCTAGCCTGTGAGACAACTATCCGTATGTTGCTGTTTGCTGACGACTGTGCCTTGTTTTCACACAGCGCGGATGAGTTGCAGCACATGAGTAGTGCTCTGGCTTCGACAGCGGCAAAATTTGGGCTCACCATCAACACAAGCAAAACTGTCTGTCTCTTTCAGCCTTCACCGGAGGTGCAATCTTCAATATTGCCGCAAATCAGCATTGGTGCTGAAGTATTGGAAACCACCTCCCGCTTCTGCTACCTTGGGGTGTGATGTCGACTGATCAGCAGCTACACGTTGAGTTGCGTAATCGCGTGTCGAAGGCGGCAGCGGCATTCGGGAAGCTTGAGTACCGAGGGTGGAACAACCACCAGCTTAGCATTGGCACGAAGCTGATGGTGTACAAATCCATGGTGCTGTCCGTTCTTGTATACGGCAGTGAAACGTGGACGATGTACCGTCGGGATGTGCGATATCTCGAGCGGTTCCATCAGCAGTGTCTGCGACGAATTTTGCTCATCGGGTGAGGCGCCAGAGTTGCAGACACGGAAATGTTGCGCCGAAGTGGGATGTATGCAGTGGACGGTATACTTTTACTGCGACACCTGAGATGGCTCGGTCATGTGTGGCGCATGGATTCGACGCGAATACCGAAACAACTTTCATACGGTCAGCTGAGTATGGGGAAGGGGCATGCTGGGAAACCAAAGTTACGTTACCAGGACATGATTAAAGTAAGCCTCACACGTTCTAATCTTGATTGCAGATCATGGGAATCGAAGGCGGTTGATCGTGGTGCATGGCGCGATCTAATCACGAAGGCAGTTGCTGAAGTGCGGGAGAAAGCCCTCATGCATGCGGAGAAGAAGCGGCAAGTGCGGAAGCGGCAAGCACCAATGAATTGTACTCCATCGACATCGAGCGCATGGTGCTGTAGAACATGCGGTCGCGAGTGCCTTAGTCAGGCAGGCCTAGTGAGCCATGAGAGAGGTCACTCGGGACCACTGCCGAAGCGACGACGGGTCCCGCAGTGAACGTAGGCAGCACCGGCGCAGCGTTTGTAGGCACGCTGAATTCGATTTACTAACCTCATGCCTGCATGCTAAGTCTCTTTATTTCAGGTGGTGGGTTTTCGGTTCTCTCCTAATGCCTTTCTTTCTCATTTAAATGTCTGGTGGGCCATGAGCTGTGCCATTTGGGGCCACTACAGAAGCGACGACGGGTCTTGCAGAGAATTACGGCGAGCCGGCGCAGCGTTTTGTAGGCACGCTGAATTCGATTTACTAACCGCGTGCTTGCATGCCAAGTCTCTTTATTTCAGGTGGTGGGTTTACAGTTTTTACCTTAATGCTTTTCTTTCTCATATAAATATCTCCCTGTACTCTATTCCATTAACTTGCACACATCGCCTAAGCCAATTGTATTCGATTTCCCTAACATTTTTGTGTTCGTGGCATTCCGTGAACTATACTTTCTGACCTCGTGCACTTAGCTAGGAGTTGTTTGTAAACAACTTATTACATATGCTATTTACTTAAGGTTTATGTCACCGTTTCCTTATGCACTAATCGAGTTTTTCTCTTTTTCTTTCTCTCTCTCTCTCTCAAGTGTTTGGCTGTTGTTTGATATCCCCGGTGTGGATGCGCTTGATGTGCATGTTGACAAGGTGCCTACCTGTCTATTACCCACTACCTCGTCCATACTGGCTCCAGGAGACAGTTGGTCGTTGCTGGAGGGGACAGGGTGCACGGTCCTTGTGGCCGTGTTAGGCTCGCAGAATGGTTCCATGCAGTCAGTGTGGAGCGGACTACGGTCTAGCCACCGCCTTGTGTGCGCTTGGTTACCAAATACAGCGTGCTTGTGTTTGCTGTGAAGGAGTGTGGGCCAGCTCCGTTGATGAAACGTGGCTCCCATCCGCATGCCTCCCGGTCTTATTCCTTCGGGTTTACACTGGATATGGGGTGTGTGGATGGAGCTGTGAGTGGTGCAGCGCAAGCCATCCATGGTCCCTCTGTAGGCGCAGGCGTCCTGTGGCTGGCCACAGTGACAGGCAAATCCAAAACCGGATGCCGCCAACCACACGCGGTTGCCTTAACGAGATGAGCTCCTCAAGCGAGTGGTTGTCAGCACCCAAGAAGCGCTAAGTTCCACACTGGCTATATGCTGCAGCAATCACACGCGGACAATGGACCGTAAGCAACGGTGCACGAAGACAGACAATCGGCACGGGTTATTTGTATGAATAGGCCAGATCTTTCAACTGTACTATAGTAAGGCGCGGACGGCAGCACTATAAATCCGCCCTTTGATAGTGAGACGGATGTCAGGATGACGCCACAAATGTCTCAAGCCTGCAGAGAAAGAGTAGAAACATGATGTTGACTAATTGTTCAGTTCTAGAATTCGCCATTTTCTAACTGAAAGTTGAAAAACGTCTACATTTGAGGACCCATCGGTTTGAACTGAGTAGCCTCATCGAGTTCAGCCACTGTGCTGTAATCCTCTGTTCGTCTCTCCCCTGTCGCTTCTGGTTGCCGAGCTACAGGGTTGGTTACTTTTGTGGCAAACCACGCAATATTCCAGGACGATTATCAAAAGCACTAATCTTTATTGCAGGTGGCTAAATATTATTTCTAGATGTGCTGAACTGTTCAATGATTGCTTGGCTAAGTTTATTTTCTATCAGTATTTGGACACGTATTATTTTTTCAAGGCTCTAGATGACCGTTTCCACTCACTGTACGAGAATCTGTAGGAAGCCCTGCTCGTTTCCTTTACCCGTTCTAGTTTTAGCGTGCCATTTCCTCGTATTACCTCCTATTATAATTCCACATGTAATGATTGTCACGCTTAGGTGTTGACCCAATGAAGGGTATTGGTGCGATTTGAGACTGCTTACCCGAGTGATGTGTGTACATATATTTAGTTTGCTTATGCACAAGTGTTGCATATTCGACGGCGTCTCATTATAGCAGGCACATACACAAAGCCTATCGTGACTTGGCACGAAGTGAATCGTCAGATTCAACTCTCGACTCTGTAGCGCACAATGAGAGAAGTCGCTGTAGCTCTTACGGTGACAAACTCGTTTGCTGGCAGTTGGGCAAAAGCATACAAGACAGTGGAGGATAGTTTCAGCCATTACCTATTCAATGTATGACGTCCGCTTGATTGTATCTGACGGCTGTGGCGAAGAAATGTTGAGATCGTGGGGGGCTCTAACACGAGCTCACCATTAATAGGTTAATCGTAGAAAAACGCTGAGGTTCGCCCGGAGATCGGCTCAGTATGTGACTGTAGGCTCATTGGGGAAAAAAAACGACACAGATGGTGATATAAACACAGAGTTGCTTGTCATTGCGAACATCAACGAAAAGACTGTGGCTAAAGAAAGATCATGACCGGTGCACACCTGACCACTCTCTCACTTCGTAACTAGCATAAACAAGGTACACTAAGGGCGGAAGGCATGTGGATGACTGTTCCGTAGCCGATTCAAACCTGCCACACACAGTACACTGGTGCATGGGATATAACCCATTCCATAAACAATAGATAAATGAATGGTTTGTTTCTTGACGGTGCGAGACACAGTCCAACTGAGTGGCCTGATAGGACAATTCATTGAGTCGCGGACTGTCACCCCTTGGGAATGTCAACGGTACTCTAGTAGCTAGTAATCGTGGTGGTGACATGGTGTGAGTAGGACTCATGGCAACACTAGCATCGACTACAGCGACAGCTGATGCCCGTCCGCCACACGTAAGTTAATCGACTGAAGTAACAAAGCACAGCATATACATCATCAGCTATAGCTTCGACACAGCAAAGACACACGACCGAAGGCTGTTTGGTACGAACTTTGATGACATCGATATGAAAAGGTAGCCCGCATCAAATTCAGATGTTTGATAGCCGGAACACACAAGTTTCTGCGTGCCGCGCAAAAGGAGTTCGTATCGACGCCAAGTGAAGTCCACATACTTGCCATCGTATCCGTGATCGTGCAAATATCAACTTGGCCACGGTCGAAAGAAGCCCCTTCCTCTTACACACAAGAAGAAGCTGGCCTGAGGCACGAAGTGCGTGGGCAGTGTACATGAGGTATGCAGACGAGAGACGAATTTTTTTCCAACCCGGCCCACACGAACTGGCCCAGCTAGCGTATCACCCACACATTCCGGTGACGGAGTGGATGGACGACAGCCACAGTTGCGTGAGCTAAGCCGCCAGAAGACAGTCGCACACTCGGAAATCACATCATCAGTGAGAGCATGCTACGATAACAGTTAGTAATGCAAGCAATTATCGATTTCGTGGTAGAGAGAATGCTTCATGGAGAAACTGAGCCAAGTGCAGTTGATTAACTGTGGTATGATTACACTTGGCTTGGATTGTGCCACTATTTCGCGTACTGTCATAGTGCCGGCTCGTAGCCTAGAGGATCACAGGCCTGCCCTGTAATCCGATGGCGCGGGTTCGAGCCTGCGTACACGACCGGGCGATGCTCGCAGTATTCTTAGCCCATGTGGAACTGGTGGTGGTTGCGCGGTAACAAAGCGTCAGTACTGCGTACCGGCATATTGCTGGTTCCTTATACTGCTATAGTGATAAAAACAAGCAAACGTGAGAGAAACGGCGGAATAGCGAGATGTAGATATGTATTTTCACAGGAGGTGCAAAAATAAGCTAGATGGTGGAAAGATGAGGTCAATCTCGAGCTTCGAACTAGGGGGACCGAATTCAAAAGTATAATAAAGGAACTTTAGCAATTATTAATCGGTTTTTACTACCATTAACTGGTCTCTGAAAAGACGGACACAACCAGGCACAGTGTTCGCAAATAATGCAAACTAACGTAGGGGAGATCGATGGCAGTGCAAGGAACAGGACAGTTCGGTTCGGTGCGAGAGTAGTCGTTGTCAAACTGGCCTCAGAGGAATAAGGGTAGCAGTCAACACACCCGAACAATGAGCACCAGAGCTGGAAGCCTAACCAGCGCCAAATGACCGCAGTGTCGCTATGTCGACGAGTAGTGGGAATGTTGCGGGAGCAAAAGGATGCATGACGTGAGGAGCACAAGAAGGAAGCAAAGTGCCAACGACAAACAAATAAACAACTAAGTAAGTAAGGAGAGATAATAAAAAGTTTACTTAGAATAGCGGTCACTTTCTCTGTACTGGACTGGTGAAAGTCCAAAGGAGGCACCCCGGTGGGCCAATGTAAAGGAAATAGATCATGGAGTCGCTCATGCAAGCCCATTGCAATATTGGGTATGACCTCAACATCTTGGGAATGAACATATGTTACCAGTTGTCACGAATCTTGCGCAAACACGTAAGAAGCGCGATGGTGGACCTAGGATGGATCTGGTTGCATAAGCTGAACAAAATGGTTGCTTGTATATCGGTCGTACGTTCCGTATAAATAAACACCTCCGTCCGATGAGATATCAGGCAATCTAAGAGTAGTATGTTTCTATGTGAAGTAACAAGCTTCATACCCCGTGCAACTGAAGTAGTCATGAGATTGTAAGCCCACATTCACAGGGCAAAATGCTTGTGGTATGCGGGGCAGGATTTTAAAAAGAAGAATGAGTCACGATGGCCACAATACGAACACAAGATCAGAAAGCAATTTGACGAACATTGCAAACTCACACGAATTCGATAATATTTCTGGGCATCCAAAAAGGTGAACTGCTCTGCAAGTTCACGTGCGCTGAAGTTTAGCAGGGATTTGCCAGATGTAGAGGCAGTAGGGTTTCCAGCTCGCTCAGCTCGAGGAGATAAATGAGACCCCTTGAGTACACTTTCAACAGAAGATCTTTCAAAAGATGATTCTCGTCCCTTGGCGCCAGATGTACGTCTCAGAAAGTGATGTTTCGTTTTCGGAACTGTATTTGCTCCCGATACGGTGGGCCGCGGCGAAAGATCGTCGGAAGTCTCTTCCGAATGATCGGAAACCACAGTGGACTCCTCACTAGTACCGGAAGGCAACTTTCTACACTCATCCGGTTGTTCGCTGAGTTCGGAACTGGAGCGTGACACATTCGGACAGTAAGGATGATGATGATGCTCCGCCTGCTGTGTTAGGGACAAGTGCTGCTGAACAGTTGTAGTGAGAACGCGACTGAGTGAGGACAAATTGTCAGCAAGCAGCATTTCTTGAAATTCAAGCAGAGTCTGTTGAAGGCCAGAAGTCAGAGGACTTTTCAGTCGTGAGACCTAGGACGGAATGAGATGGAAATGAAAAAGCAGTAGGAATGTATCAAGAGCGCAACTTCATGAATGACAAGAATGTTGTACAAAAAGGCTGTGTATGTCAGAGGTCATCGGCTTTTGAAACTCTTCCAGGCGAACTATTGTGAGGAAGGTGAATTAATCATTAAGATAATCGATCAGATCCCAGTACCGCTGGAGGCGCTATGATAGGCGAGACCGCCAGTAAACAGAGGAAAGCATTTCCAGGTAACACACCAGTTTGACTGCATCGAAGAAACACCGTAGCTGCGCAAAAGCTGTGGAAAGGCCACGCGGTGCTACCATGGCGCAGGAAAAGCCCCGGATCCCCATTGTCACAAAATGTGATAACTTACGATGACACAGCAAAAGATGGTCAATAATAGACACCTGCTTTTAGTAATAAAAATGATGATAAAAAGAATTAACGTTGCGGTAGAACATTGGAAGTTTGTGATAGTGGCTCGTTGCCACGCTACCGTAAGAAGTTGAACGACTGAATAGCAACAAGAACCGTGTGAAGGCTAGAACTAGGTAGAGGTTACGAGCAAAGCACCCAAAGCACTGCACCGCGGATCGACATAATAACCTTAATTTAGATACCAGTTACAGTAACAAGAGGTGGATCTACCGCGCCTATAATTGGAAGAGATCCGTTTATTGGCAGCTCACTGCAGTTGAAATTTAGTCAGATAGCTGGCTACATATCTGGAAAACCCATAGACTAGCGTTTCATCCTATGGCGTTAGTACTGCGCATCCCCAGGCTCCATCGGGATCTGATCCCACAATAAACTGACCCCAATGGCTTACATCAGTAAGCCATTAGTGATAGCAGCAGCTCATCATTTTGCACGCATGTGATCCAGCGCTTGTGCGCGGACGACCATGTTTGCTCTCTGTGTCCCTGTCACGGTATGGGGATCACAGGATTGCAGTCAAATGAAGAAGTGTGAAAGATGTGCTTTATAAGGGTTCTGTGTGCTCAAATGGTTTATGTGATGTCAGAGTCATAAGGAATCGCTAGATGACTGTAGAACTGAGAAGAAATGGGATAGACGTATTTACAATCCACACCGTTATGACACATTACTTTTAAAACACGTCACTTCTGCTTTTGAATTTGCTTCTGAGCCACCCTTCAGTCAAAATACTATCGGAGGTGACTATAATTTACTATAGATTTCATGACCAGAGTATACAGCACCACCAAATCTGTTGAGTTTTGTCCCCGAAGTCCGGGCTCAAGGATGGACTTACGTGGTTCATAAACCTACCAGGGAAAAAAATAATTTAGATATCAATTTTGTCTAGGACGTACACTCCACATCTGTCGATGCATTATCGCGTTTCACAGGTAGTGATCATAGAGCCGTGTACCACAGTTTTGTAGCACTCGATCCCGTCCTACTTTGTAACACAAGACAACTAATAGAGCCTTTCAAGGACTTTAGAGATGTAAATTGGGATACGTTTGCTATAAATCTGCGAAAAATGAACTTGGATCTGCTTTCTCACCAATCCACAAGTTGCGGCAGATGAAACTTACGCAAATATCCAACACTGTCTTCATATTCTTGCTCCACTCATACTGAGATCTGATAAGCAGGTTTTCACGATAACTACGCGCGAAGCATGCCTACTGCGTAAGATGAAAATAATTCGCTCAATAATTAGACAGACTCGCGACTTCTCCTTACTTATCAGACAGGATAAGCTAGTTGATCAGTCGCGGTCGATTCATGATGCAAGACTACTAACAGAGAAAAAGCGAGCAGTGATAAATGACAATAAATCTAAAGCCTTGGTCAAGCTACAGAAGGCCGGAAATGACAGTCAAACTAAATCGGTATCATGCATAGTACCACCTGACAGATCCATGACCAGGAACCAAACCATAATAGGGAACGTCATGAACGAGCAAACATTCATTCATTATACACGTTAACTAGAAATGGGAAAGACCGCAGCTACCGTGCCGCAATACCCAAAAGAAAAAAGGGGAATAAAATGCTACAGGTGTAAGCCAGCTGAGCTACCGGTAACGGATGGGCATCGTTCCGGCAAGCTACCAGCCGGCTACCATGCAGCAACAAAAATTACTATGCAAAAATATATAAGGTTAACTGGTGAGATGGTGGTTGGAGGGCCAGGCTAAGAGGGATGAGGTGGGAAAAAGAGATTCAAAGCACGAACGCCACTGAGGTCGGCTCCTAGCCATGTCAGCAAGTGTATCCATCCAAACGTGTTCATAGTCTTTCGGACCCCAACTACGGAGCCGAGACGCTCCAATCGAGGCTACCTTGGAAGTGAGGGCCTTCATTCCTCTCGACCAAGTCATCCCTTGGCCACCTCTTCTCTTCTTCAAGCCACATCCCAGGCGGGGCTGGCATGCGCAACAACTGGCCGAGCCATGGAGCCTAGTGCGTGAAATAACGGTGCTAAGTGGTTCAGTTTCTTTTCGTGTGCCATAAACAAGGCGTCGAACACGCTCGTTGCTCACACGATGTTCCCACCAGATGTGAACCAAATTGCGAAAGCACCGGTGGTCGAACGTAACTAGTCTCTTTATGTCCGTTGATCTAAGGGTCCAGATTTCGCAACCGCACAGTAGGGTCAAACGTACATCTGCATTGTACACTCTACCCTACAGGGCGAGTGATGTCGCGCCGGTGCCATAAGTGGCGAAGGTTAGCAAAAGCGTCTCGAGTTTTTGCTATACGGTTCGTGATCTCAAAGTTCATGGGTGCTGATGCAAATTCCCAGGTAGTTGAATGTTTGAAGGATTTCCAGCTGATCCCTATCAAGGGTCAGCGAAAGAGACCGTCCAGGCCAATCTTGGAGGAACGCTTTGCACTTCGATGGTGTAAAGCAAAGACCGAAGTGACAGACAGACAGACAGACAGACAGTGCTAATCTGTCTAGTGCCGCTTGGCACACTTGTGAACCGTCACAGATGAGGGCAATATCGTCAGCATACTCCAAGTCAAGAAGCCGTTCTCCTGGAAGCAGATCCACACCTTCTGAGTCGTGTCATGTGAACGCGATTTCCATGAATTCGGCAATAGCGAAGTTGAAGAGGAAAGGTGACAGCGGGCATCTTTGTCTCACACCGCTGGTGATATTAAAGGGCGACGACAGCTTGCCGTAAGCCCTCACTCTGCTTGAGCTACGCGCGTATAATGATCGGATAATATTTACATACTTCTCAGGCCCACCTTTCCTGAGTAGACAGTCCCAAAGAACACTGCGATCAACCGAACAGGCGAACAGTGACCTTCAATTGTCTCCAGTGGGCGTTTACTCAACTCGTATGACAGCGCACTTTGATAGGCAATAGGAACAGCTGGCTTCGTCAATTGGCTGGTGTCAATGCGCTCACAACGTCCTCGTGAGCGTCCGCCAAAAGGCATCCACAGGTCAGCACATACAAATGCATGGCCGGTGTCAACACATGTGCTCCAAATCGAGCGACAGTTCTGAACGCAGCCTCTCCATCGGTAACTTATCGCAATGTGATCGATTTGCGTCCAAGGCTGGTTGGCGCAAAGTCACCCTCCGGCGGGTGCTGTGTCGGAAATTAGTGCGCGCAAGAAATAAGCGAGCATCTTCACACAAATGAAGTAACCGCTCACCGTTATCATTATGGGAGCCTACACTATGTTGCCCGCCCAGATGCAGTTCATCAGTGAATAATTTTCCAACTTGGGCGTTCAGATCCTCAGCCGGCACAAGTGTCCGAGCTTCATCTTCTATGGCGAAGGAGTTCGTTCAGTTGGCGATAGAAGTCGTCTTTTACCGAATCATCCCTAGAGGTTGTGGGTGCATAGGCAGCGATGATGAATAGACACGTGTTAGTCCCGTGCGGCTTCGAAGCTTTGAACGAGCCAACCAATCGGACCGCCCACAACCGGCTACTGATTGGAATCCAATCAATCAGAGCAGCTTCTGCCCGGGGACTCAGGGCAATACCAACACCGGCTTGGCCGGTGCTCGAAGCTGCATCGTCAAAGGATAGGCGCAATGAGAAAGTGCTCCTGGTGTCACCTGAAGGGGATGGCAAAGTGAGCGCTGAGCTCGAGTCTTGCAGGCGGGTCTCCGATAAGCAGCAGATATCGATCGAGAGGGTCTCTAATGTTCGGGCAAGTGCTGCCTGTTGACCAATTTGTAGTACTGTGCGTACATTGAGACATGTCAATCTGAAGGATGATCGAGAGCTCCAAATGGAAGCCGATGAACTGGGCTTGGCCGCTTGGTTGGACACGGGCTTGTCGACAAGACAGGAGTGGCGCTCCGCGTTCACATGTGCGTTGAAACTAAAAGATAAAAGCCTATCAAAGCAAGGTGGGAGAAAGCCAAGAATTGGGAGGTTGAAAACTGGAGGGATAAAAGTGAAGGTAAGAAGGTAAGAGCGGAAAAGCGTAAGAGGGGGAATAAGAAGATGGGTAGGCTTGAGCGGCAGCATCTAAACCCCTAACCATTCTGCTCGATGCAGCAAATAGAACACCGTTGATTATCCTCTGCGGTGACCAGAGCATCAGAAATTCGTTTGAAGTGAAATCCATTGTATTGCGTGGGCAGGACACTGTCAGGTTGCCCCGGCCTGACAGGAGAAGGATTAGGGTTCTCAACCAAAGCCTTTGGTTCATGAACTAGCACTTTTTCACTTTCAGCTAATTCATCATCGACACCCCCAATCAGCAGGCTTAGGCTAGTCTGGAAAAGCACCAGAGGCCGGCATTTCGACCTTCTGCATCTCGTCAGTGGTGGCCTCCCAGCGGACCCCTGCCGGGTTCCGCCCCCATGACTTAAGGACGCCAGAAGCTAGTGCCACTTCGTGATCGGTGATAACCGCGGACCTGCGTGATTGCTAGTTGACTATGATATAGCCCGGCTCATCTTCCACTGCCATGCCAGTTACGTACTGTGTAGAGGACAATGACTAGCCTCACGATCTAGGACTTTCCGCATACTGCCTATGTACCA